TTAGTGCCCCTCCTTTCTAACTAACATACTTCCTGCTCGTCATTCTGACTTGCACTGTCACAATACTAGAAACGCAAATAAATACTGCCAAATAAACTGTAGGACCCAGCTTCACAAGGATTCTTCCTTACCCTCCTCTATCAACCTATGGAACGCACTTCCCGATAATATAAAGCCTAACCCGTCGATAACAAATCTTAAAAAGTTCTTGAATGCTGGAATTCATCTTGTTACTACTGCAGAAGTAGATTCGGCAAAATGCATCATGCACGATTAAGGATGAACTGCAGTTCTCTCTTTCGTCATTTATATATACGGAACCTAGTTGGTAGTCTCATGTGTACTTGTAATCATTCTGCTGAAACTACCGAAAACTTCCTCCTCTTCTGTCCGAAATACCAACAATTAAAAGTACAATGCTTCAGAAGCCTTCCTCCCGACTATAATGTAAATCTTCTTCTGTACGGAAATCCTTAAATAACAGTTAAATATAATGAGAATATTTTCGACTGTGTCCAACATTTCATCAACCAGTCGAAACGATTTAAGTTTGAAGTTCTCAATTCTGATTTCACGTGTGTTTACATGTGGTACATAATGGGACGGCCCCTGTATGTCACGACACGTCATTAGGGATATATATTATTATATACAAACCGTCATAGTCTTGTTTGATGATACTTTCGATATTTTAAATGACACCAGATTGCTTTTCATCGCTGGATGTCGGAATACTCAGGGGTCGGCATGGGACGTTTTCATTATATGTAATTAATTTATTGTGTGTTGAATACCTCAGTGACGTGTACAGTCCTCGACATGTGTCCATATCCAAAATATATTCCAACCGGTGTTTCCTCCCATAACGCAGTAAATGTACTCTCCTATATTTTTACTCCCAACAGCACTTTCTTTAAAACCCTTTTGCATCATTTCCCCTTCTTCCTCCCCCGTCCTCTTCTCTTCCATATACTTATATCTATATGCATAATAATAGTCAGTGCCGTTCGATCGCCGTTTTACAAAAAAGGAGACGGATTAATATAAGCACTTTGTACTTGTTTTCGAATCCTATATGTATATCATGTTTGTATTACTGGAATATTATACCGATAATAAAATAAAATTTAAACTAATAATCAAGATTCACGATTTCAAGATTTAAATTCTGCTTAAGCCACAACGAAGTGTGAAATAGAGGTCGTAATATCCAAATCATTTAACTGTCATGGCGAGTGTTATTGAAGTTCATTTCAGCTTAATGTTTAATAGTCACACTAGCCATATTCGTATCATCTCAGCAGAAAAACCAAGATATAAAGCTAGCTGTTTGAGTTCTGAGAGACAATAAAGTCTACACTAATAGGACATACTGGTTGCGCCTGTTGTAGACACTGGTATACCTAAACGCGAGTTTGGTTTGGTTTGGTTTAGTATTGTTTAACGTCCTATCAATAGCTATGGTCATTTAGGACGACCTCTCCTGTGTGCAAGATGCATGCGTGTAGTATATGTGTGTGTGTTTTGGGAGGCTGCGATATTTTGGTGTTTGTCTCCTTGTGATAGCGCGGAACTGATGCCGACTTTATAGTGCTACCTCACTGAAACAAACTGCCGAACACACCCAGCAGGACACACCCCCCGGTCATATTATACTGACAACGGGCGAACCAGTCGTCCCACTCCTAAATTGCCGTTCCTTTGCTCCTTCTTAAACGATCACTTTCTCGCTCCGATTTTACAATCAGTTGTTTTAAAGAACAAATTGATTGGTTGTAAATGTTCTGATGTGGGAATTATACAGTTCATCCCAACTGTGGGTCGCTATCTGATGTGGAAATTATACAGTTCATCCCAACTGTGGGTCGCTATCTGCTGTGGAAATTATACAGTTTATCCCAACTGTGGGTCGCTATCTGATGTGGAAATTATACAGTTCATCCCAACTGTGGGTCGCTATCTGATGTTTTTGCAATAACAACGATAAGCTATGTTTTAACCAGATTTACTAGCTACATTTGTATCTAGTAAGTAAGGAAGAAAATAAAATAAAAACAATGTTCTTGTGCATTTAACTACCCGAACCAAGATAAAGTACCACAGCTTTTTCAAATAGTATTCTTTCTGTGAAGTTAGTATGAAATTGATAATCTAATGTTCGTTTATTCGGAACAACCGGTTTGTTTATAAATGTAACAATTTCGGGTATAAATCCTGGCGGACCTGCAAATGTTTATAAAAGCCTTGCAAAGCCTTGTCAAGGCTCGCCTGAAAGCAGCATCAAATTACTAGATCCGACCTTATTTAATAAACGAACGACTGTGGTCCGACCGGTTTGACCGATTAAACGAAAACGGTCAAGGTGCATACATGTATTATCTTTTGAAATACCAAAGTTAACACAATCTAGCTTTCTTCTTGCATCATCCAGTTTCTACCCTTATTTTAGAAAAAAGGGTCTATTGTTTGTCCTGCTCATTATGTCTCAGACAAACCATTCTAGTGAGCTCGACCTCGGGCCGATACTATAAAAGAGGGAATGGAATTGCTGGTTGTTTTCATGTGTCATATAAAATCGGTTTCTGAAGCTTGCTCCAGTGAGATAATGCGACCACGTGTTCGAATATTTGTTTGTTTATATATAAATGTACATTCTATAATAGTCAGATTATAACCCATATCCTCGTTGACTGCTGCTGTAACTCGACCATACTTAAAACCAGTTTACAAACTGACATTTAATCCAGAAGACCTATCTACGAACATAGCAATTTCAGATGAAAACACCTTGTATAAATAAGCAAATGTCTTCACTCATCTTTTCAAATATGACCAAAGAAAAAAGTCCGTTAAAGATTTTCCTTGAATTGTAACAGGAGATTGTCGCCTATTTTCACACTACATTTAAGTACGCCAGAAATATGTTTCCAGTCATTTTATAACACAACAGCACTGTGAGGAGCTCTTTACTGAAGCATCCATCTTCAATTTGGGGGTTTTCGCTAGCCTTTCATCTGGTATCATCTGGTATTGTTTAAAACTTCGGATTGGGCTCTATTCCCTCGTCTATGAAAATGCATTTTAGTGCTTATATTGTTGTCAAAATGGTCTCTCAAATCGATTCAATGTCATGTGTAGATCTGTCATTCGTTATAGTTTGGTCCCTGACTAATTGAATTCCCGATGGTATGTCTTCTAATAATTCTCATTCCTACCTGTAACACTCAACTTCTTCTGTCCCGTCAAGATACTAAAATGTGTTAACCCAGTTTTATATCAAGACAATCGATTACAAATGCTACATTTCACAGCATTGTAGACATATATGCGTTTTCCACATCTCTGTTGCCTCCGACACACATTACGACCTGAAATTGCTGTCATCAATGTTTCATAATGGCGTTGCTGTCTCCCCAGTCATTGTGGTTCTCAACATTGCCGTAACACACTGCTATTCTGGGGGCTCCCATTAACTCCACACAAGACAATGCACCTGGCGTACTTCTTTGTTCTTGAAGCCGAACGTTCTGAATTTTACATGAATTCGATACCACGGTGCCTGACTTCAATACTGCCTTTCATTTTATCCCGTAGAACGTGGCATCTTAGCTTCGCCTGCGAATCGACCATTAAAATATGACAATGGTTATATATATACACACTGTTTGGTTGAGGTTCTGTGAGAAAGCTACTTCACATGACAATCAAGTCATGCAACTGAACACGTCACGTGTACATATGTAGTTTATGTCGGGCCTTTAGGAGCGTTCTCTATTGTTGTTAAAGTACGTTGTCATGGTGCCGTGTAGTTAGATGGGTTGTGAATAGGTTCCCAGACACGACATCCTTGTTAGGCAGAGACCATCTCTTTCAGGATTTATAATACACATTACACACCCCTATACAAACATTGACATTGGAAAAATTACGTCAAACTGGGAATAAAGCAGGTCTAATTACTGACGTGTTGGGACCACTAGACGCTCCCGTCCTTGTCACGCCAGATTTCCAGAGTCCGAAGACCTGGTGGTTTGATCCATTCGCATGCGGAGACATCCGGCGCTCATTAATTCCCGCCAAATTCGCCTAGACTAGTCATTTGTGACAATGCTGTTGATTCCCCAAATAGGATATAGACGTGGAACTTATATTTCACGCAGGGTTTGCTAGGTCCCGGTACAGCACGCACGTGCCAGGCCATGGCCGTTTAAATTGACCACTTAGTCCAATACACGTTCGGGACTGACCTACGTATTGGCGCGGTCATTGTCTATCATTACGTAGAATCCGTGCTAGATGGATAGGAAAAGAGAAACGGAAACCGATTAATTTGCAGTGACTGAGTTGTTCAAAGAAACGTCAGACATGAAGAGTCATGTGACGTGACGAGAACAGAATGTTAAAGCGACACTAATGGGAATTCATAGAAAAGCATTATTCATAATTCCATTTCTGTTTTTAAGCTTTATCTATTATCTATTATCCGGATGACGTCAACGAAATTGACAAAAGAATGCATGTACAACGCCATCTAATAGACCACTGATCTGATATCTGTTGATAATCGATTCCGATTTATTTCAGTCTATGGTTAAAGTTGACGTGCTGTAGAAAGTCCCAGAGAGGCATTTTAAGTCAGCATAGATCTAAGCGTACAAAATTGATAAAACCTTAGATGTTAGCGCTCATTTTAGATTTTGTTCGTTTTGATATCACGCCACCACTTATCCGATTGTGCCACTATCCAGCCAAAACTAATATTACTGTCCCATCGCATATCCATCGGGTTATCCTATTATTCAGGAAATATTATAAATGACACTTTGAAGATAATAAAAGGACGCTGATAGTAAGGATTCACAGAAGACACATGGGATTAGTTAAATTATACAAAATTGTCTTGTTTATGATTTTATAATGTAAATTAACTTTTTTGCTGTTTTAGTCACGTGCTTTTCTCTCTACTTTTGTTGACGCTTTCGTCTTTTTTTCTTTACCAGCGACCGAGGACTGTCCCCGACGGGTCGACAAACAAAACGGGCGCACGTGTAAGAAGAAGTGCCAAAACGGGACTTGTGTGAGTCCCAGAAAGGACTGTCTCTGTGATGGGGCGTGTGGCAAAAGCTGTATCCTCAGAAGTAAGTCCTTTAACAGTTGTCTCCCCTCCATCCTTTAACAGTTGTCTCCCCTCCATCCTTAAACAGTTACCTCCCCTCCATGAGGCTTCCACGCTACCGTGAATGCCAAAGGAGAGCAGGTTAATGCATGTACCTAATCATTCCAAGAAGATATTATAGAAAATGAATTAATTAATTTAATTAGTCTACATTAAGTTCGTATAAATGGAAACATCGTACATATTTGTTGGATAAAAAGCAATGCCACATAAACGAGTTTATCAGACGTGGCACGTCCGTTGTCGGAGTTTAGAACAATTTTGTATTTTACATATGTTTAACAGTTACCTCCCCAGCATGAAGCTCCCTCTTCCCATGTTACCATGCAAGCCAAATGAAAGCAGTTTAATGCATTAATTCAATCATTGTAAGAATATAGTTGTCTCCAGTTGTCTGGTATCAGAAAATATGTTAAGTAATATACAGAACTCTAGTATTGAAACTGGTTACAGATCTGATCATTCTATACCTACTATTACAATAAAATTTAATGAATTTAAGAGAGGAAGAGGACTTTGGAAATTCAATAATTCTTTATTACATGATGAGGATTATCTCAAAACTATAAATAAATTATTTTTTTAAATTAAAAAGCAGTATGCCCTATTAATATATAACCCACATTTTATTAATAATATATCAGATGAGGATATCCAGTTCCAAATCAACGACCAACTTTTCTTAGAGACCTTACTATTTGAAATACGCGGTAAAACTATTTCATATGCATCATATAAAAAAAAATGCAGAACATACAGGAAAATACTCTTATAGAATCTATTAACAGTTTAGAAAATATGGATAATGTCAATCTGGATCAAGTAGGTGAAAAAAAGAAGGAATTGGAAAAAATCAGACAAATTAAAATGAGGGGTAGCATTATAAGGTCCAAGGCAAAATGGGTGGAAGAGGGAGAGAAGCCAACAAACTATTTTTTTAATCTTGAAAATAGACATTTTACCTCAAAAATTATCCCGATGATAGAAAAAGAAAATGGTGATGTTATAAGAAAACAAGAAGATATTTTAAATGAAGTTAAATTATTTTATGAACAACTGTATGCAAGTAATAGTAATATCGAAGAAGTGGATTTAGATAAATTTCTATCCAATTGTAATGTTCCAAAATTAAACAATGTAGAATCTTTATCTTTAGAAGGTAATATAACTTTTACTGAAGCGTCACATACTTTAAAACACATGAAAAATAATAAAAGCCCCGGGTCAGATGGATTTACAGTAGAATTTTTTAAGTGTTTTTGGAAACAACTAGGTAAATTTGTTTTAAGATCTATTAATTATGCATATATAAATGGAAACTTATCTATAACTCAAAAACAAGGAATTATTACATGTATACCAAAAGGTGATAAACCAAGGCAATTTCTTAAAAATTGGAGACCTATTTGTCTTTTGAATATTGTTTACAAAATTGCATCTGGCGCAATAGCTTCTAGATTAAAAACTATTTTAGATAAATTAATTAACACTGACCAGACAGGATTTATTGCAGGCAGATTTTTAGGGGAAAATACACGATTAATTTACGATATAATGCAGTATACAGAGGACAATGATATAGATGGGATGCTTTTGATTGTTGATTTTGAAAAGGCATTTGATTCTGTTAGTTGGGAGTTTATTGAAAATGTATTTAAATATTTTAATTTTGGTGAGGATATTAGAAGTTGGATAAAAACACTACATAAAAATTCTATGTCTGCAATTAATCAAGGTGGTAATCTCTCATCTTTTTTTGAAATTAAGAGGGGTTGCCGTCAAGGTGATCCGATAGCTCCATACATTTTTATTTTGTGTTCAGAAATACTTGCAATAAGACTTAGAAATAATAATTATATTAGGGGTATAAATATAGACAACTCTCCACTACTTCTCTCACAATATGCAGATGATACCTCTCTCATTTTAGATGGAACGAAACAATCATTAAAAGAATCAATAAAAGAGCTTAATTTATTTGCAAAAATTTCTGGTCTTAAAATAAATAAAAGTAAAACACAAGTTATATGGATAGGCAGTAAAAAGTACAGTGATGAGATATATTATCCTGAATGGAACCTGCAATGGGGAAGTCAAAAATTTATGGTATTAGGTATAGAATTTCATGTAGATTTACATCAAATCCCTAAATTAAACTATGATAAAAGACTAGTGAAACTTAAGTCAATAATTAAGAATTGGAGTAGACGAATATTAACACCAATAGGAAGAATACAAATAATTAAATCTTTATTAATATCTCAATTTAATCATCTATTTATCTCCTTACCAAATCCAGATGAAAATTTTATTAAAAAATTAAATTCAGAATTTTTTAATTTCTTATGGAAGAGTAAAGTGGATAAAACAAAACGGGAAATAATCATCAAAAGCTATCAGGAAGGGGGTCTTAAAATGATACACATCAAGTCTTTTATTGAAGCCTTGAAACTTACTTGGATACGTAGGTTGCTTACATCAGGGGGTAAATGGCAAGTGTTATTTAAAAAATATGTTAATAAGGACATTTTATTTAATTGTGGTTCATAATACTTATCGATTATTCAAGGCAATTGTAAAAACCTTTTTTTGGAAAGATGTGTTCCAATCATGGAGAAAATAGCTGATAAAGAAGATTGTATAAGAAAGATGAAAAGTAGATTGAAAATGCCTATTTGGTATAACAAATATTTTACAGTAGGAGCTTATTTTATAAGCAATGGTTTGAAAAGGGTGTTTTAATTATAAATGACTTATTAAAAGATAATAACTCTGGTATTTTCTATAGTTTTATAGAATTTTCACAAAAATTTGATGTTAAAACTAACTTTCTCACATATCAAGGTATTATTAATACTATAAAAAAAACTACATGTCCAATGATGATACTTTAAATACTTTGATTAGTTATCCATACATACCCTTAAATTCAGAAATATTTATGAGGCATAAAAAAGGAACTGAAGATTTTTATAATTTGTTGTGCCAAAATAGTACCATATCCACTGGGAAAAACAAATGGAATTAATTGTTTGAATTTGATGATGACACATGGATTTTGATATATATGCTTCCTTTTACAGTAACTAGAAATTCAAAATTACAATGGCTTCAATACAGAATAAATCTACACATTTTAACAACAAACTCTTAACTAGTTAAAGCAGCTCTTACCGATAGTGCTCTTTGTTTTCAATGTAAGACTGAAATAGAGACAATAATTCACACACTATGGGAATGTGAGAAAGTACAAGACTTTTTACAAAATTTTGAATTCCTTCTTGATGCATTGTTAATCCCATTTAGTTTTAACAAGGAAACCTTCATTTTCGGTTTATTAAATCAAAATAGTATCAGTAGTAGGGTAGATAATACCATAATTTTACTTATAAAACAATATATTTATAAATCGAGATGTTTACAAATGTCATTGTCAGTAGCTGCACTTAAGAACGTTATCAAGGACACATATTTTACTCAGAGATATATTGCTGTTAATAAAAGTGAATGATTTTTATTGAAATTCAATACTGAGTGGAAAAAATGGGAAAGTCTAATTAATATTGCTTAAACCCTGTCTTTGCCAAAATATGAACTTACACTATCGAGTTTTCTTATATAAACATGCACTTCTAAATACTTATATGTAAAACTCCTTGAACCGACCAACACATCTATATAGCTTCTTTATTTCTCAATCTCCATCCCCCCCCCCCCCCCCCCCCCCTCGGTTTTTTTTTCGTTTTTTCTTTCTTCTTTTTTTTCTCTCTCTCTTAGTCTTACTTTCCCTTCTATACCTCTAGGACCTGCTCAAACCTCTTTTCTATCACTTCTAAACAATGCTTTTATATAACGGACACAATTTAGATGGAATTTAATTATACATAAACATATTTAATTATTAATTATACCTGGAAATATGCAGTTTTATTATAAATGAATATTTAATGAATGAATTGTAATGTGTGAGAGGAATAATGTTTATGTATGATATATTTGCATAAGTCAAGATTTAGTTCATATAAATGTTAACATCGGGTGTATAATTATGTTGAATAAAATGCTATGCCACACAAACGAGTTTATAAGACGTGGCACGTCCGTTGTAATGTTGTCCGAGTTTAGATCAATTTTGGTATTGCAATTTCCATATATCTATATATAGTACATGTTCTAAAGGGGAGTGCACTATAGTTGCTAAGGTGTGATATATCGTACATGGTCTAAAGGGGAGTGCACTATAGTTGCTAAAGTGTGAAACATGGTCCACGGTCTAAAGGGGTGTGCCCTATAGTTGCTAATGTGTGAGATATGGTACATGGTCTAAAGGGGAGTGCACTATAGTTGCTAATGTGTGAGATATGGTACATGGTCTGAAAGGGGAGTGCACTATAGATTTTAAGGTGTGAAACATGGTACACGGTCTAAAGGGGAGTGCACTATAGTTGCTAAGGTGTGATATATCGTACATGGTCTAAAGGGGAGTGCACTATAGTTGCTAAGGTGTGATATATCGTACATGGTCTAAAGGGGAGTGCACTATAGTTGCTAAGGTGTGATATATCGTACATGGTCTAAAGGGGAGTGCACTATAGTTGCTAAGGTGTGATATATCGTACATGGTCTAAAGGGGAGTGCACTATAGTTGCTAAGGTGTGATATATCGTACATGGTCTAAAGGGGAGTGCACTATAGTTGCTAAAGTGTGAAACATGGTCCACGGTCTAAAGGGGTGTGCACTATAGTTGCTAATGTGTGAGAAATGGTACATGGTCTGAAAGGGGAGTGCACTATAGTTGCTAATGTGTGAGATATGGTACATGGTCTGAAAGGGAGTGCACTATAGTTTTTAAGGTGTGAAACATGGTACACGGTCTAAAGGGGAGTGCACTATAGTTTCTAAGGTGTGAAACATGGTACATGGTCTAAAGGGGAGTGCACTATAGTTGCTTATGTGTGATA